TTTACAGGGCAGGCAACTGGAAAAAAACACCTTTTTCTTCTGTGACCATCAATTAACTGAGACAATAAAGAGGGAAGCCCACAGTGCCATTTTACAGTGATTTTTCTGACTCTCACCACACTTCTAAATCAGTTTAATCAGTATTCTATACACATCATACAGAATGTAACACTTTGCAAATGTTGGAAAACTGATGTGTGGCATTCAGGTGATACCAGGGCTATCAACAATCTATGGTTACAAGAGCAGTAGGAAGTCAGGCCAGAATTTAGTGCAATAAATCTGTTTGGGCATGATCAAAAGCTCACTGAAGTCAGTGGGAACCTTTCCATTCACTTCAGTGGGCCTTTGTATATCTTGTATTGTATTGATCAGGTCCTTTGTATATCTTGTATTGTATTGTTCCTTATAAATAAAATAGCATGAAGACATGCAGCTAGTGTGCCCTATATGTACAGTGTGGTTTCATTATACAAGGGTAGGTGCTTAAGTCCTAAAGAGTTTGTTAAAATATCATTTTAGTGTCTCAAATACCTATAATACTAAATAGTGGTTTTCTATCTTTGTTCAGTGTGCTAATGGAACAGCAGTGTCTCTCTGTGTATTAAGTAAATCTTCAGATTGTAAGGACGCAATATAAAAAAATAGGTGCTTTCCCCTGTAAAGTGAATATTTCTTAAGGATTGGAACTAGGGTCCATTTTTAAGCAGAGAACAGGGGTGAAATCAATAGGAATCTTTCCAGTGACTTTATGGGGACAGGATTTCATGACAGAAGAGTATGTGGGAAGAGAAATGAGGATATCAGTAGGTGTGTAGTCCACCAGCCTTCCATTAGATTTTGTGCAGTACATCACTCTGTCTGGTGCTCATAGAGAAAGCGGTAATAGGAACCTTTTGGAAACTGAGATTTTCCATATAAGCTTGGATGATTAGTGTAATTTGTGAAAGGTTACCACCAAAGTAACCAGCAACCCTACCAAAATACTGATCATTTCTATACCAGCAAATCTTCTGACCACAGTAGGAAATTCATCCCTGCATTGATTACCCAACTAAACAGAGAACACACACAGAGAGAGAGAGAGAGAGAGAGAGACTGGAAATGTGAAATTCCACTCATATGCTTTACATTTTTTTCATTTTAGACTTGGGAAACAACAGCAACCATGCTGCACCATCCCTGATCTCCAGCCTCCAGGAAGGGGCCTCTGCACTGAATACTTACACAGCAGAGGAGGAGAAGAGCAAAACACCTCCAGAGAACAAGGGCCAGATCATTTTTGATGACCACATACACCTGAAATGGGTTGAGTGGGAAGGGTCAGTTCCAAGGGGGGCAGTTTCCATCTGGAATGAGGAGGCATCTCGCACAGACTATGTCTGTGCAGAGGCAGGATGTTCTGTTGGGTTTTTCAATGAAAGTAAAGGTCCATATTGTTACTATTCCAATGCTGATCAAGAACATCGCACCTCAAACTTCAGAATGTTGGTAAATGAGGATAACGTTGAAGTGCTAGAGTGGAAGGAAGGATCATTTGGTTCTGTTCCACCAAAGTCAGTTCCAAGCTATCCAGGAGTTAATGTTTTTGTTGGTAGGAATCGTTATGGCTTAGGGAAAGTAGTCCCTAGGTTTGAAGCTTTCTTCTTACCTCAGAATGGCAAAGAGAAGTGTTACAAAGAATACGAAGTTCTGACTGTTAACACATCCAAGAAATAGCAAAAGTTCAGTATTTAATAAATAAGGCAAAATTTTCTTACCAATCAATTCCAATCTTAACATTGTCCAAAATCCTTAACAATTTTCAAAATATAAAAGAAACCACAACTGATGAGCAATATTGAAAAATTGGTCACCCCACTTGAAATGGAGTGGTTTCCACTATCAGCACAAAAGTTCCCATTTTCAATGGGACATCAGTACGTTTTTCATCAGAGATAACTTTTCCATCGTATTGGTGCCAGTCGTACCAAGTTGCGAAAACATCTGTCTACCTGTGAAATGAATAACCACCATTCATGAATGTGAGGTGGTCATGATGGGTACAGAGATGAGGGCTCATATACCCTAACCAGCCACACTCATCCGTACTTATCAAAACAGAGAAACTCTTGGCAACACCATTCGGGAAACAGGCACCAACATCCACATCTCAGATGTGAACGCTGAGTTGAGACCGTGCCAGCCCATAAGAAATGCTGAACTATGTCCAAAGGAGTCTGTAGTCCCAGTATCAGCAGTATGGAAAACGGTTGCTCTACTTCAGGCTTTTTCTTTTCCCAGATTTTAATCTTGCCATGGAATTAGTATAACAACTTTATTGTTATACTAATTAACAACATAATTTTATTTAGGGTTATTGTTTTCTTTTGATACTGAAGGTTGGGACCAAGACCAGCATACAACCCCCTGCCAGCGCCCAAGGAACACCTCGTTATCCACTATCCACTTTATTCTCTGTTCTTATGCCCTCAACTGCCATGTATAATGCTGAACAGCCACAGGAGAGTAAAAAGAAGATAAATGTTGTGCATTAGATTTATTTTTCTATTGTTCAGATGGTTTTTAGCGTGCCCATCATTGTAGTATCTAAGTGCTGCATAGCTGAATTAATTCTGCATTGTGAGGTCCATTGTCATGGATCCACAGGACAAGCTGGCCCCTGACCTTTTGTCACGGATCCACAGGATCACTGCTATGGCCCTGCTTTGGAACAGTCTCTAGGAGGATGCCCTTCAGTGTGCCAGGCTCCCTCAGGGTCTCTTCCACCAGGGTCAGCTACGCAGCTTCACCACCTCCTTAGACTGGACCTCTGGGCCTTCAGCACCCCTGCTTCACACCCTGAGTTCTGTTCATTGCCTGAGGTAGACTTGTCCACTCTTCAGGGATCAATACAACTCACCCAGCATTTTCAGTGACACTAACACAGCATTGTCCAAACAGAAGGGTTTATTAGTCATCTGGAACACAGCGTAGGAAGCCCTTGGGTTTGCGTAGAGAAATGAAGGCATAGCCCAGAGCCCAACCAAGCTGTAATGAAGCCCTTGGTTCAATCTCTGTCTCTTTCTTTGTCTGACCTCCTTGGCCAGACTCCAGGTGAGAGCACCCTGACAGGCTCCAGCAGCCAGCTTTTATCTCACACCTCTCCAGTCTTTTGTTCCCGAGCTGGGGAAAAGCTGCTTGGCTTCCTGCAGAGAGGTGGGGCAATCCATGGTCATTGGTCGCTGGGTTTCAATGTTCTAGTGATTGGATTTGCATTGTCTTCATGGATTCTCCACTGATATGGGGTTTCCAGCCAGTCCCTTTCCAATGACCTATTTAGTCCCAGGCTGCTAGGTGCCTTCAAACCTGTGTCTTAGCCTGCTCCAAGAGAAAACAGTCTCTTTCCAGCCACTAGGTAAAAAGGGGAAAGTGAGGCACACACAGGACTCATAAAAATAGTACAAAAAAAGTCCCACTTGGTCACATCTTTATACCATCTCTCTAGGAGTGTGCCCCTATCATACTGCTTGTTGTGGGACATGGCTAAGAGCACCAGTCTCAGGTCAGATTGCCAGAAAACAGGGTGTGTACCCCAAACTGCTGGGGTACGTAAGATTTCACCAAGCCAGTAACAAATATGTGCTTCCAAAATACTCTGCCAGTTATTTTGAAGCCACAGACAGTTCCCTTCAGGTGCTCTAGTCCCTCATGCACCACCCAGACAAACCGGACTTTATGATGAAAGGCCATTAAAACCAAAATTCATCAGAGATTAGCTTCTTCTAAGCCTGAAGAACCAGCCACTTGCCCCAGGATCTGGTAGCCAATCCTTTAGTAATCTAAAACCTAAAGGTTTATTAACATAAAAAATGATTAGGGTGCTGGGGCACATGACTTACGAGGAGAGGCTGAGGGAACTGGGTTTATTTAGTCTGCAGAAGAGAAGAGTGAGGGGGGAAATTTTATAGCAGCTTTCAACTACCTGAAGGGGGGGGGGTTCCAAAGAGGATGCAGCTCGCTGTTTTCGGTGGTGGCAGATGACAGAACAAGGAGCAATGGTCTCAAGTTGCAGTGGGGGAAGTCTAGGTTGGATATTAGGAAACACCATTTCACTAGGAGGGTGGTGAAACACTGGAATGGGTTACCTAGGGAGGTGGTGGAATCTTCATCCTTAGAGGTTTTTAAGGCCAAGCTTGACAAAGCCCTGGCTGGGATTATTTAGTTGGGTGGGGTGACGACGCAGGAAAGGAAACAGAACACCAGGTCTGTGGTAGCCGAAAAGCCCCTCTACCTCCAGGAACTTTTCCTGGGGCTTTTATTCTTTACTTACTTTGTTTACAACACTTCTTAGTGGTTACATTCCTGCGCATAAAAAGGCCAGGCAGTATACATGCACATAAGATAACAAACCCATCTCTTGAGGGCGTGAATGCCAGCTGCGAGGAAACAATCAAATCAGCCAAATAAGTTTCCCAAACATAGGCGCTAGAACAAGATAAAACCTGCCTAATTGCCAAGGGAACA